GCCTCCCAGAGAGCTAGGATTACAGGCGTGAGCCACTGCGCCCGGCCTACAGATATGTTTTGAGGGGGCATCTGGTACGATTTGCAAATGGAGTAAACACAAGGTATTTACTCGTATTTAGTCATCTAGGATGACTCCACAGTTTCTGGCCTGAACACCTGGGAGAAGGAGGTCACTAAAACTGACATACGGAAGAATGGAAGAGAATTGGGTTTAGGGCAGTGGTAAGGGTATAAATGTCTGAGAATCAAATTCAAAGTTCTGCTTTAAACCTGTTCAGCTGGAGATTACTTTTAGATGTCCAAGTGTGTGTGTCGAGTACGCTGTCAGATACACCACTCTGAAGGACAGCAGAGAGCAGGACTAGCCATAGAAATTTTGTATGAGCTAAACAAGGGCATTTTGTAGAAGAAGGAGACCTTAGCTGTCAAAATCTCAACATTTTAAGGAAAAGGAAGAGAGCCCTAGAAAAGGTTACTTGACTTTTCAAGATCATCCATTTAAAAAATTAAAGGTATCATTATACTCAAACAAAACTGTCATAAAGATATAAAAATTGGCATTTCAAACCATTGAAAATTCACATATAGCATTTTAAAAGCTTAAGGAGTTCTTCCTTTTGCTAGTTAGTAGCATATTCAGAATCAAATTTCAGGTCTTTCTGTTGGCGTCCTCAAATTCTTGATAAACTGGAATCAGAGCAAACTTAAAACTGCAGCAAAAGCCTTCAGACAATGAATTTCCAAGACCCCTTCCTTTCTCTCTCCACAGAAATGGCTCAGATAGTGCTCAAAGGTCTTTAAAGAGCACTACAGATATGGTGCACATTGCTGTCGGAATTGTCAAGCAGGTATCTGGGGTTCCATTTGATCTTCAAAGTGCTGATTGGAGAAGTTTCCTTGATCTCTATACCAGTTACCATGAGAGGAAAGACAGGAAGGGTCAGAGGGGAAATTTTCCCTGCTTACCTGAGCAATGGGAAGCTAATTTGGACTTACACTTTTTTCTTAAAAGCACTACATTTAAAAAATCATAATACATTTCCATCAACCAAAATGTATAGAGAATTAACACCTTTTTACTCACCACCTAGACTAATAACAGAATGCTCCTAGCATAACTGAAGCTCTCCATGTATCCTTCCTCAATCATATTCTGTTCACTCCTGCATTCCAAGTGGAAACCATTGCAGTAAATTATCGTATGTTCTTAATTTTTTTTTTTTTTTTTTTTGAGACACAATCTCACTGTGTTGCCCGGGCTAGAGTGCCGTGGCGTCATCTTAGCTCACAGCAACCTCAAACTCCTGGGCTAAAGCGATCCTCCTGCCTCAGCCTCCTGAGTAGCTGGGACTACAGGCATGCACTACCATGCCCGGCTAGTTTTTTCTATATATTTTTAGTTGT